CTGTGCCTGTGTCTGTGTGTCTACGTTTGTTTGTTACTCTATTATTGATCTGAATCTGTAACCTTCCTTTTATAAGTATATTTTCTGTTCTGGGGAAATGCTAGAGTCCAACCATTTGTTTTCTCTAAGTAGAGTGAGGAGGAAAGTTCTCTGATTATAGTGATTTCATATGTCTTTGTTTCATTTCCTGTTGCTGTGATTAAAAATACCCTGGAAAAAGCTCCTTAGAGGAGAAAGGCATTATCTTAGTTTACAAGTCCAGAGTTGGCAGCAGCCAGAGCTTGAGGTAGCTGGTTACATTAAGTCTGTGGTCAGAAGAAGAGAGGAGTAGATGCACGCATGCTTGTGTTTAGCTTTTCTCTCCACTCTTACAGAGTTCACGATCAGTTGCACAGGGAATTGTGCCGCCCATAGTGGTAGGTAGGGTCTGTCTTTTCACCTTAGTTAATGAACCAAAGGTAATCCCCACAGATTGGCCATAGGACAACATAATCTAGACAAGCCCTCACTGAGATACCCTGCCTAGGGGATTCTAGACTGAGTCAAGTTGACAATTAAAAGCCACCATCACTCTATTATTGCCACATTCTGGAAGCTTGAGCAAGTTAATAGGTGTTTTTTAATTTAAACTTAATTTAATGTGTATGGGTGCCTTGTACATGGCCCGTGCACCATGTGCATATCATGTACCCTCAGAGGCTAGAAGAGGGCATCAGATTCCTTGGAACTGGAGTTACAGATGATAGTAAGCTGTCATGTGGGTTCTGGAAATTGAACTTATATCCTTGGAGGATCAGTCAATGCTCTCAACTGCTGAGCTACCCTTCCAGCTCCAATAAGTTTATTTCTACATTTTTTTCTCTCAGATACCAACTTTCTTGTATCTTTTTAGGCACCTGTCTGTTGGTTTTGTAAGAGTGGATAAACATATAAAGGGGTGTTCTTCCTGTGGGATCTTTCTAATGAAAGCAAAATGGAAGTGGCTATTAGCATCTTCCCACCACACTGCACCATGCCTACAGACTGCTCTTACACAGCACGGTTTTTAATGAAAACCTAGAGAAGTTGTGTTTTGTAATAATAAAGTAAGAACAGGATGGTCCCTGGTGTCATTGATCCAGAAAACCGCAGAGCCATTTGACACAGCCAGGTTTAGTGCTGTCTTTGCTGACAGCACAGTTTGCTGTCAGTCTGGCAGGCTTCTGTCGTGACTGTGAGGCTGTGCAGAGGCATTTAACTGTCATAGATTACATTTCGAGACCCTTCTTTTCCCTACCTTTTATTTGAAATACATAAGAGGTTAAGAGTTCCCAATGCCCTCACTGCCAGCCATTGGTCTAGTCAGCCTTCCTGGTCGAACACGCACCAGCTCTGACAAAGGACGTCCCAGCCATGTAATGTAAAGATTAAGCTTCTCTGTTTTCTTCATTTTTCTATTCATTTTGTTGATTTAAAATGTAGTCTTTCTTTATCTTTAGAAGCAGATACATGCCCTGAATGCTACTCTAAAACAAGGTAAGATTTGATTAATTTGTTTAAGCCAGTCTTTAGTGAATGCAGAGAAAAGAAACAAGTTTTTGTTGTGTGTTACCTGGGCTACATTCAATATGATGAACATAACACTTGCCTCTTCAGAGCAATCACAGAAGGTATGCAAAGTGTTCTGGTAAAACTTACTTCTCATGCCAGGTGGTGATGGTACAGGCCTTTAATCCCGCACTTGGGAGGCAGAGGCAGGTAGATCTGTGAGTCTGAGGCCAGCCTGGTCTACAGAGTGAGTTCCAGGACAGCCAGAGATACACAGAGAAACTGTCTCACACATCAACAATGAAAACCAATCAACCAAACAAGAACTAACCAACCAACCAGCCACAAAACAACACCACCAACAAGGAAAGAACACACTTGTCCCCATAATTGGCCACTCTCATCAGAAGGCAGGTTAACTTGCTCACTATCCTATCAGTGATGTGTATCTGACCTACAATTTGACCGTCTGCCTGCATAACTTTATGACACGGTCTCTTCTTCCTCTGCCTAGATTAAAAAGACCCAAATACAGGTCTATATAACACCAATTCAGAAAGTCAAGTTTAGACTCTGTTGTTTTTTCTTCCATGCATCAACAAAATCCAGTAATTTATTATAACACTCTATTGGTAGTCATTGGCTTGTTTTTAGTAGTTAAAGGTTTTAGGGAAGCTCTCACTAACGTGTGGCCATAGCACAAACATTGATATAGAATTGATATATATTATATATTATATATAATTACTCTACTAGAAGTGAAGAACAGTTACATGTTGTATAAATAATACTAAAAAATCTCATTGGGAGATATTTTCACTGACTTTTCTACTTGCCAACATTTTCCTTTCCAATGAATATACTACTTTTATGAATGATTACTTCAGCTTCTCTTTCATTATTTTTTTTTATATCTGACTGCTAAGTGTTCCTTTACATGTACAGTTCATGACTTCAGGGAATGCTGAAGACTAATCTAACTACCTGTGGTTACTTGAACCTGTGTTTAGAATTCCTCTCCACACATCCCCTCCCACACTTGGCTAATCTGTCAGAGAGCTTGGGACTAAAAGACTCTGAAATGGCTTCTTTGGATACACCAACCAGCAGCAATGAGACTCATGACTCTTAAGCCAGTAGCACCCAGACCCCCCCCCCCAATTATTAGATTAGTGTTTTAGTAACATAGCGGGTGACTATAGAGAAGCCCAGAGGAGAGGATAAAGATGGGAACAGCAAGTGCAACACATTCCAGGCACCACAACAAAGTCAACAGACAGGGTCTATGCAGGAACAACTTCTGGGTGATGCTCACACATTTAGAAAAGAGATGAGCACTTTGGGGATTGTAGCATACGTGATAAAGGTAATTTGGAAATCCTTAGCGCAGAATCTAGAAGAGCATATCAGAATAAAGAATTCAAAGGGGAGGTAGGGGAGAGGCTGGGAGGAGAGGAGGGAGGGGGAACTTCGATAAGAATATAACATGTGAGAGAAGCATAAATAAAAATTAAAAAACGAAATCAAAAGTTCTGTTAAACAGGGCTAAAATAACTTGAGCTAGTCAAAGCACCTGTAATGGCAGCAGATGTCTCATCCGCTGCAGTGTTAATTCATACACAGTCACTTAGAAAAGGGCAAGTTGAATCTGTGGCCTAGAGAAGTCCTACCAGACCAAGCTGAGGCCGAGGCGTGGCTCCTCAAGGGTGTTTGCCAGGCTTGAGAAATAAGGCTGCACTGTTAATCATTTGAGTCGATCTGATCTTTCCTCAGGAGTCCATGCTTTCACAGGATTGAGCTTTACGGTCAGAGAAAGTGTGGATTAAATGCATTAGTGATTGGTTCTGAGTCACCATCATCATGCATTGGTGTCTCATTGAGGAAAGAAATAAAAGCATTTCCCTTTGGAGTCATTTAACCAAGAACAAGTCCAGATTTGAATTCTGTACTTCATGCTCCTGTGTGTTTCATCCTGTGTGTATCTCCTGACACAAATACCCTTGACAAAGACATTTTTTTTTCTGTCTTTACTGAAGAGCACAGAAAGCATCACATGGGGGTGGAATGGTACACTTTACAGAAATCTTTGACAGAATGTTTACAGAGATCAAGTTATTGACACCAACCTACCCAGATGACAAACAGTACTACAAGCATGTTTACCAGCTGGTATCCAAAAGCTGAGTTTAACATTTATGGTAAATGTTTTACTCTCTAAGATTTCGTTCAACTTCTTCTTCTTCTTCTTCTTCTTCTTTTTTTTTTTTTTTTTTTTTTTTTTTTTTGGTTTTTCGAGACAGGGTTTCTCTGTATAGCCCTGGCTGTCCTGGAACTCACTCTGTAGACCAGGCTGGCCTCGAACTCAGAAATCCACCTGCCTCTGCCTCCCAAGTGCTGGGATTAAAGGCTTGCACCACCAACCTCTTTATCTGCTGCTTTCAGCAAATGATATCGTTGTATTATCAAGGGCAAGGGAGGGTCTGTAACTTGAGATTATAGCTGTGCATAAGCATAGGCTGTAAATCAGCATAGGCTGATTACATGGGAAATCTAAGCCAAGGAACAATGTTTGTCACATGGTTCTCTTAAAATCAGGTTAAACAAACAGGCTGAGGACACAGCAGGATTGTAGTCTTAAGTGACAGAAAGGTGTATTATTAACTCTAGCTGTGATGTCCAGCAAATCAGTCTTTCAGAATGTGAAAGATACTTTTATCATACTACACTGCCATAGGAGAATATGATCGAGCCCTGAAGAAGGGGATTGGGGAGTGGAGTGCGTAGGAGGGAAGATATTCCTGGAGAATTAGATGCTCTGTTACCAGGGCCCCCACATCCTCTTCCTGGAGTGTGAATGAGCCTATGAGGAATTTTTGCTGATTTGTGAAGATCTGAAAATGAAAGTTATTTGAAAAAATAATTGTTTTTTTAAATAATTTTTAATGTTTCCATCTCTCTGAAGAGAATGTGGTCAGTAACGGTGTAGACATGTGATCTTTAACTACTGTCCTCTACTTCTGGGGAGACTGTGCTGTTTTAAGGCAGCACAACACCCTAGCATCTTTCAGCCTATGGTTTGAACTATGAAGGATCAAGATGTCCAATTCTGAATGAATTGCAGTTGTTAACCAGGAGGATACATCAAAGAGGGAACACTATTTCAGCCTTGTTTCGTATTTCTCTTATAATTCAGGCAGCAAAGCTATGTGTGAGCCAGTAGTTGGGTTTTCATTTCAGCCTTCAAGAGAGGCAATCTGTAAAGACACGTGGGCGGGGGTCTCTGCCGATATGCAGAGTTCCATTCTTTGTCACGACTATAAAGCTACCTCTGAATATAGACAGTTGAGGCAGAAAGGGGTAGAAATTGCTTGTTTGTTTTTTAAACAGAGACAACTTTAACTATCTCATAAAGAAATGGCACAGATAACTGATCACCAAATGTCCCCTCCCCTTGTTTATTTTTATTCTTTAAGCTTCGCCCACAGACCTAGCTCCGAGCCCGTAGAAGCAGAAGATGAGCCTACCTTGAGTTCCAAGGTAAAAAGCCCCTCTATGAAATTAATTTTCTCTTTCTGAATTTTTTTTCTATATATTCTTACACTCAGCAATGGTCTGCTATCATTGCATCTGAAAAGTCAGCCAAAGAGAAGTGTTTATATGATTGTGACCAGCTGGGCTTCTCGCTGCTTTGTTTTACTTTGAGTGGTGACAGAGGCAGTGGCTACTCTGTGCATCAGGTGTGGAAAATGCATACCGGAAAAAACACCATGAGGCTTGGTTTTCACAATAGAGCAAATCTGAAATTTGAGCCAGGAACTTTGGGATAAATATAGATTATTGTGCTTTGATTTTTTAACTGGGGGCTGGAGAACTGGCTCAGTGTTAAGAGCACTTGTTGCTCTTACAGAGGCGGTTCCCAGCACCCATATGGTGGCTCGCAACCATCTGTAACTCCAGTACTCCCAGATCTGAAGACTTCTTCTGACCTCCACAGGCATCATGCACGCACGGGGTGCACATACATACACGCAGGCAAACATTCATACACATAAAATAAAATAATGGAAAAAGATTTAAAAAATAGTTTACTTGTGTGACTTTAATTATATTCATGTTTCAAAGCTGTAAGGAAACTGAAAATTTATGTCACAGCTGATGGATCTGCCTGTGGTTTGAACACTATCCACGAATGGAGCTTCTGTGGGGCTCCTAACAGTGGTAGCAGGCGTGCCTCTGACTCTCTTGCCTGCTCTTGGGACTCTTACTCCTATTGGGTTTCCTCACCCAGCCTCTCTATAAGGTATTTTTCCCAGTCTTACTGTATCTTGTTTTGTTGAGTTTAGCTGTTGTCTCTTGGAGGCCTGCTCTTTTCTGACTGGAAGTGGAAGGAGAGTGGATCTGGGAGAGAGGGGAGGTGAGGGGGCTGGGGAAGTGAAGGGAGGGGTATAAAGAAGAACCTAGTTTCAATTTAAAAAATAATTTAAAAAATGTACAACTAAATAATATATTTTTTTGTCCAAATAGTTACAAGCTAGTACAAGTAACCAATAGTTCAATAACCGTAGTGTAAAAATTTAATTTCTGAAGTTTTGTGCTTAGATTTTAATATCAGCTCACAGTCTTAGTTTTATATTCTAATGGTTTAGATTTTAGAAGGTCTTTACTTACTCATTTAAATTCTCATTTTAAGTCTTCTGCACGTTGTGAGCTAGCAGAGGGCCAGAAACCTGTGGGCAGGTCACCTTTTGTTCCTAGAATAGAGTTTCACGCTAAAACAGAATTTTAATATATTTCAGTGTGAAGAAACACACAGAAGACTACTAGCAATTAACAATATCAAGCATTTTAAATGTGCCTCAAATTCATTATCCTTCCTGATGTTTAGGACGTGTCCTCTGGGGTGGTTTGCTCTAAGGAGCTGTGTCGCAAATGAGAAGGGAAAATTTAGGACAGGCCATCAGAGCAAAGACTTAGAGCACCTCAGAGTCCTCTGACTCAGACTCTCGGACTCTGACTGGGGCTTATATGGGCAGTTCTCATGCTCCGACTCAGACTCTCGGACTCTGACTGGGGCTTAGATGGGCAGTTCTCATGCGTTTCGGCTCCTATGTTCTGACTAAACGTGTGCTTTCTTATTACACACTGTTGTCTCTCATCCGATCATTTCTCCTGACTAAAAGCCAAAGCAAGACTTCTGTTTCCAACTTGTCTTTCTCTGTGTTAGAAATGGTTCAGTTTCATTCCGGAGTAGATAACAAGCTCGTATGTTGGTGTCTGTCACTCTGGTACTGCATGTTTGTTACAAGGCAACCTCCACCTCAGTAGCAGCCCTTACCAGTGCAAAGATTCTTAATCTGTGTTACAAAACCAAGAAAATTGATCATGAGACACAGCATTATTTAAAATGTAGAACAGATGTTCTCTGCAGCAGCTCGGAGTTTTGTTTTTGTTTTTGTTTTTTGTTTTTTTTGTTTTTTTGTTTGTTTGTTTTTGCATCCACGTGAGTATGAAATCAAAGCACAGAGGGAAACAACTAGTGAGCAAATTCAGCTTTGGCTGTTTTCTAGGAGCTATGACGTGGCACTCAAAAATAATGACACACGCATTGCCATAGAATCGATAGAACTCTCAGCAGTAGAATTTCCTGCTGACTCAGCCCTCCAGTGACGCCATTTTGTATGACCCTGGGAAATTTTTGTTAACCTTAACATTTTTTTGCCTTTTTTTTTTTTTTGGTTTTTTTGAGACAGGGTTTCTCTGTGTAGCCCTGGCTGTCCTGGAACTCACTCTGTAGACCAGGCTGGCTTCAAATGCAGAGATGTGCCTGCCTCTGCCTCCCAAGTGCTGGAATTAAAGGCGTGCGCCACCACAGCCCAGCGATTTTTTTGCCTTTTAAACTGTAAAATGCCATTTGAGTCCAGGGCCAAGTACATGTGAGGAGGGGCTTGAATGCTCCCTGTGTCTGACCTCTTGCCCACCCCCTCACCACCACACTGTTCCCTCCCAGGATGGCTACTGAATCCAAATTGCTACAGGTTCAGAAAGTATGTGAAAACTAATAAATGTGCTATTTTAATGGTGGCAAATATGTGGTACTTAAAATCATTTGTCCAGTTTTAAACTATATTTATACATGGTCCAATTAGGAAATATGATCCATCAGTATCTGCTTAGGCATAGGAAAAGAAGGTTGGTTGATTTTAAAATAGGGTTTTGTTTTTCCTATGACATCATAATGGCACTTCAAAGGCTTAATTGTATTAAGCCTTATACACGTTTATATTTTAGTAGTATCTTGAGGTCAATTCTCAATAAATTGCTTCTATTTCCTTAGACTGTGTAGCTCAGGGCTGGAGAGTTGGCTCAGTGGTCCCTTCTCAGCATCGTGTGGCAGCTCACACTGTAACTTCAGTTCCAAGGGATCCAGTGCCCTGTTCTGGCCTCTCCTGGCACCAGACACACATGCAATGTCCATATATACATGCAGACAAAGCATCCATTCACATGAGTAACTTTTTTAAATTAAAAAACAAAAATCCCATTTGGTTCAGTCATCACTTGATGTCCTGGAATGTTTAGGACAGCTAGCAAGGAGAAACTCACTAATTGGCCGCTGTTGGATGAAGGCAGAAGAAACTGGACGTTCTGGGAAGTGTGAGAACTGGACTACTGGGGGTCCTGGAGACCCACCCGAGGCATGGCACCAGTGTAGGAAGCCTTGGAGTTGGGACAGAACTCACCCAGACAGCAAGTTCTCAGCACAAAGGAGAGTAATTACCCCAGAGGGACAAGCAGGGTTTTAGGGGGGCTGGGGGTGGGAGGGTGCTGCGGATAAATTGGACGAAGGCTACTGCAGGTGTCTCTGCAGGAGTGAGTTTTAAGGAGAAAAGGGGGCGTCTGTGCTAGAATGACACCTGATTGGTAAATCCCGATTGGCCAGGTTAACCAGTGTTAGCCTTTTGATTGGACAGGTTAACCAGTGTTAACCGAATGATGCCTTTTGATTGGTGGACCTTGGTGTTTAGTCTCAGGAATGAGTCAGTGGCCAAATAATGAAATGGACCCTGGGAGCTAGCTTTACAAATGTAGTCTCCTGCTTTAGCAAGGGAGAGGGGATGGAAAAGAGCAAAGCGTACTGGCGCCGTGTTTGCCGCGTTCACACTGTTAGAGAGCCCGTCATTTGTTTTGCAGAGGACCCAGGTTCTGTTCCCAGTGCCTGCATGGTATAACGCCAGTCCCCGGGATTCAATGCTCTCTTGTGACCTACCAGATATGCACCGGGTATACAGACATATATACAAGCAAAACACTCCAAAACATAAATAAATCATTAAAACACAGTGTACAACAAAATCCAAATGTATAAATTCTAAAATATTAAAGTAGAAGAGATTAAAATAAAAATCTCCCAGCCGAGAAAGAGTCCCGTGACCAAAGTGGTCTTTTTCTGGATGTCCCAGGTCTAACACAGGCCTGCACATCAGAAGTTTCTCTTAAGTCAGAAGCTTTTCTTTGGTGTCTTTCTGCATAATACTTCCTGATACTGTGGTTCTAAGTGGTGTGGAAGGCTCACTCACTGGTGTCTGTCGCAGCTAGTTGTGGCGTGCACTTCCTGTGATTCGGCATCGCTCCTCTAAGCAGTGATGTAGATGGCAAGTGGACTTCAGGGTGTGGATTCTCTGAGACTCAAACACCACTCTTCTGCTTTTCCGTGCAGCCTCCTGTGTCCCAGTCACCCATGCTCACCGAGTCTAGCCTCTGGGTTGGCTATCCTGCAGATTGGCCTGAACCCATTAAGTTTTCCAGACAACGAGCAGTCTACAACCCAACCGAATGGAGGGTAAAGCTGGCTTTAACAAGATTTTTAACTTTGCTGAAAAATATGTAATGTTGTGTTTTTAAAATAATTTACACTTTTTTAATACAGGAAGACATGGAATCCCGGTCAGTTCCTCTAGAAGAAAGCAAACAGCAGGTGGCAGTCTTGCTGGGAAAAGAGGCAAACATACAGACACACGAGTTGCAGACCAGGTACAGGCTTTCATTTCTCTGAGTAAAACCAGCTTAGTGCCATCAGAAGGGACGAGAGCTTCGTGCACCAGACATACTAGATTTATAGAAAAAAATTAACACCGTGATCAAATAGTTTGCAGTTTTATGTTCAATTCCACATTGGCCTGTGGGTGTCGCCTTTAGTTTGTGAGTGCTTGTACCATCTACCAGCATGCAAGGCCTACACACCTGTTTGATTCATTTTTTCCATCCCAGAAAACTACAGTTGTGCAGCAGGCATGGTGATGGGAGCCTGCAACCCTAGCACTCTGGAGGTGGAGGCAGACATGAGTTTAAGGACAGCCTTAGCTATAGTCCACCCCCAGCACTGCAGGAAGGCAGGAAAGAAGGAAGGAAGGAGGGAGAAAAGGAAGAAAGGAGGGAGAAAGGCAGGGAATGAGGGAAAATCAGGAGAAAACTGCAGTTCCAGAACCAAACACTTCACACTGGTCCGGGGCCTGCACAGCCTGGCAGACATCTTTGTTCCCCCATCTTTCTTGAGAACGTGGTGTATGATCATCACGGACCCGGCAAACACGCTTCGCACCTCATTATTTTTCTCACCTTCCCCTTCTCCCCCTAGCAAGCGGGTCTGTTGGACCTGGAGCAACACAGGTACAGGCTTCCAGTAGTTTTCTCTCATGTTTTGGCACTTTCTGTCTGAACTCACTATGTGCCTGTGAGTAGTGTCCTTGAGCTCAGCTTCTCCGCCCTGCCCCAGGGCCTCCCAGGACACGGGGGGGCCGGGGGGGGGGCCCCCCAGGCCATGGCTGTTTCTGGCCCACCATATAATCAAGCTCCATGTAAATTACTCTTTGGGCCTCACCACATATTTTCCGAAGTGTCTGAAGCCCAGAGCTGGCTCATTTGTAGTCACAGCTCTGATTAAACTTTTCCAAAGACTGAACATGGATCCATATGTAATTGCTGCTAAACATTACTTGAAAGAGAATTCCAAGAAAGCTAGCTCAAGACAGAAAGGGAGGCCAAGTTTATGCTTCATATGTGGGCTCAAATTAAAGGGCCCATTTCATTTTCCAAACCAGTGCAAACTATATTCTGATTTTAGGAATACAAGTTTCAGTGTGTCACACACTGTTCAGTTGGATCATTTCAGATAGTTGTGAAAAGAGAAAGGAATCTGTAATAGAAACTTGGGTTACAGCATAGATGATGGCTGACTTAGTTGTTAGTTAGCTTGGTTGCTATTGCTGTGATGAAACACCATGACCAACACAAACTGAGGGAAGAAAGGGTTTATTTGGTTTACATGTCCACATCTCTGGTCATCATTGAAGGAAGTCAGGACAGGAACTCATGCAGGGCAGGAACCTGGAGGCAGGAGCTGATGCAGAGGCCATGGAAGGGTGCTGCTTACTGATTTGCTTCTCATAGCTTGCTTAGCCTGGTTTCTTATAGAACCAGGACCACCAGCCTAAGGATAGTACCACCCACAGTGGGCAGGGTCCTTTCTCATCAATCACCAATTAAGAAAAGCTTCTGCCTTGTTTTGTATTATCATTTGTTTTGTATTTGTGTTAGATATCACACACTGAATGTAGCAAAACTCATGTGAACCAATAATCAGTTGTTTTAGTTCAGCTCTTGAGGAAGGAAATTTGCATGCCCAGTGTCTAATCATTTTAACCCCTGAAAATATTTTGGCCGTCTGTCATTCTTTGGTGAGAGAAGTGGAGGCAGAGGAGGTAACTAAAAGCTTTGGCTTTTTTTTAAACAAAAACTAAGTTTTAAATATACAAATAAGAATACGTTTAATATACACATTCCAGAACTTTTTAAAGAACAGAACTGATCCTATTGTGTGTTTCACTCTGAAGGGTTTTCGAGGAGCCTGGTGCCAATGATCCCGACCTGCCAGCAAAAGAAAATGCTAAGGTAATGCTGTTTTATTCTATTAATTTTCTTGTTCCGAATCCAGCTTTTTCAATATTTATCCTTAGTTATATGGTGCTTTCTCTATTATCATTTTTATGTGGAAAGTTTGCCAGAGAAAACCTTCCTAGACAGTTTTATGTAGTTGATTTGTTTTGAGTTTTTGTTTTTGAGACATGGTCTCTCTGTGTGTCAGCAGGTTGTGACCTGTGAGTCACAACCCCTTTGGGGTAGAGTGACCTTTTCATGGATTTCATATCAAATACCCTACATATTAGATGTTCACACTATGATTCAAACAGTAGCAAAATTCTAGTTATAAATTAGGGACAAAACTAATTTTATGGTTGGGGGGTCACCACAACATGAGGAACCTTATTAAAGAGTCACAGCATTAGGAAGGTTGAAAACCTTTGCTCTATATAAGCCTGGCTATCTTAGAACTCACTATAAGGACCAGGCTGGCCTCAAACTCACAGAGATCCTCCTGCCTCTGTTTCCTGAATGCTGGAATTAAAAGTATGTGCCACCACAACTGGATTGCAGATGATTGTTTTTTTAATTTTGATGAAAGCCAAAGAGATAGTAAACACTTGGAAGCCATGAGAGCTGAAGGAATGGCCCAGAAATGCATAATGACAGGGAAGTAGTTCATTGACATGTCTTAGTCACATTTCAATTGTTGTGACAAATCACCACGTCCAAGGCAACTTACAAAAGAAAGTGTTTAATTTGGAGCTCATGGTTCCAGAGAGTTAGAGTCCATGAAGATCATGGTGGAAAACATGCCAGCGTGTGGCAGGCAGTGGGCAGTGGGCAGTGGGCAGGAAGGCAGCAGGCAGCAGGTAGGAAGACAGCAGGCATGAAGGCAGTAGGCAGGAAGGCAGCAGGCAGCAGGCAGGAAGGCAGCAGGCAGCAGGTAGGCAGGCAGCAGGCAGCAGACAGGAAGGCAGCAGGCAGGAAGGTAGCAGGCAGCAGGCAGCAGGCAGCAGGCAGGAAGACAGC